GTTCGCCGATTTTTGCCAGCGGTTCGTGCACGCGCGAACCGACGCTTTATACGCTCGTTCTACCATAACGAACATCGAGCATAAGCTGGTGTTTGCCGCGCTGTTTGAACAGGTAAACGGTCGTCGACTCGACGATATTTCATCTGGTGTTTACACACCAACCGGGGAATTTATCTTTTCGCGACCGTTTCGGCCTGTTTCCAACGCGAAACACACTCGATAAGGATTTATTGAAGCTGCCTTTGAAGCGACGTAAATCTTTTATCGAGACTTTTCGCGTGGATTTGGTATAATGACGCCCCGATGAATCGGGGGATGCGTAATGGCAAATGGAGTTGTGGATATACTATGGTTTAGGATTGCTACAATTGTAATTCCAAGTTCCCCAATTCAAAGTTCCCCAATTTCACATATTCCAGTTCCAAATTTTTCAATTGCAAATTTTCCAAGTCTAAATTTTGGCAATTCCAAATTCTCTAATTCCACATATCCCAATTCCAAGTTTTGGCAATTCCAAATTTCCCAATTCCACATATTCCAATTCTAAATAATTCAATTGCAAATTTCTCAATTCCAAATTTTGGCAATTTCAAATTCTCCAATTCCACATATCCCAATTCCAAATTTCCTAATTCCACATATCCCAATTCCAAATTTCCTAATTCCACATATCCCAATTCCAAATTTCCTAATTCCACATATCCCAATTCCAAATTTCCTAATTCCACATATCCCAATTCCAAATTTCCTAATTCCACATATCCCAATTCCAAATTTCCTAATTCCACATATCCCAATTCCAAATTTCCTAATTCCACATATCCCAATTCCAAATTTCCTAATTCCACATATCCCAATTCCAAATTTCCTAATTCCACATATCCCAATTCCAAATTTCCTAATTCCACATATCCCAATTCCAAATTTCCTAATTCCACATATCCCAATTCCAAATTTCCTAATTCCACATATCCCAATTCCAAATTTCCTAATTCCACATATCCCAATTCCAAATTCCTCAATTCCAAATTCTCCCATTCCAAATTCCCCAATTCCAAATTTTTCAATAGCAAACTTCCCAATTCCAAGTTTTGGCAATTCCAAATTTCCCAATTCCACATATCCCAATTCTAAATAATTCAATTGCAAATTTCTCAATTCCAAATTTTGGCAATTTCAAATTCTCCAATTCCACATATCCCAATTCCAAATTTCCTAATTCCACATATCCCAATTCCAAATTCCTCAATTCCAAATTCCTCAATTCCAAATTCTCCCATTCCAAATTCCCCAATTCCAAATTTTTCAATAGCAAACTTCCCAATTCCAAATTTTGGTAATTCCAAATTCTCCAATTTCACATATCCCAATTCCAAATTCTACAATTCTAAATTCCCCAATTCCAAGTTCTCCAATTCCACATATCCCAATTTTAAATTCTACAATTCTAAATTCCCCAATTCCAAGTTCTCCAACTCCAAGTTCCCCAACTCCAAGTTCCCCAATTCCAAATTCTCCAATTCTATATTTCCCAATTCCAAGTTCTCCAATTCCAAGTTCTCCAATTCTAAATTCCCCAATTCCAAATTCCCCAATTCCAAATTTCTCAATTCTACGTTCTTTCGATTTTTATTAATCTTCTCATTCTTCTTCTTGTTATTACTGTTGTCATTATTGTTCTTCTTATAGATCAAATTTTTCTTACAGCTTGTGTCGCCTTATTGTTACTGTTACCACTGTTGTTCTCGCTGCTGTTTTATTAAAGTTGATGTTGTTCTTTAGTTCGTTTTTACTGATATTTTTATTGTCTTGTTATTGTCACTGTCATCATTGTTTCTGTTGTCCTTTTTGTTTTCATTAATGCTGATGTTTTTATTGTCTTGTTATTGTTACAGTCATCATTGTTGCTGTTGCTGTTTTTGTTTTTATTCTGGCTGCTATTTTTGCTATTATTACTCTTGTTGTTATTGTTACTGTTATTATAATGATCGTTGTTATTCTTGCTTTTATCGTTCTTGCTATTTTTGTTACTTTTATTCTGTAGCTTCATTCTGTTCCTATTTCTTCTTTTCAACTTTGTTATTCATTTATGACACTTTATAACAATGTAACATTAAACAACATGCTTACATAAATCATCTTTCTAAGTCAATTATTCAACCACTTTAAGAAATGCGTGCCAAAAAGTAGGTGAATCCCAAAGCACAGTAGAAATGATAGAGAATCATTCCAAGTAATAAATCGCAAAATAATTCCTAATAAAGTACCCCGGCTTGCAACATGTTCAACCACAGAGTTTCAACAGCGATACGGTTTAATTCTAGCACGGTTGAAATTTATTGTAACAACGAGATGCTCCAGAACATTTCCACGACTGGCGACAGTCTCGATAAGGAATTGCTCTCGATAAAGCGACATATACTTTCAATTAGATTAAACTCCGAAGCGCAGCCTGCGAGCACGACACGCGTGTTGCACGCGCGTTTTACAACCCTCGTTTCCGTCGACTTCGAAACGGTACAGTGCTACCAACCGGGCCCCGATGAATTATCTTATTTGCATAAACACCATGAGACCCATAATCGAACACTTTACTGTTCGTATCCGCAGTAAATTTCTTATTCGCTCCGGAGACTCGCTGGAAAATTATACTAGCTTGTTGCTACTTTATCTGGAGTATGTTCGTCAATTTATCAACCTCGTCGTGAACGATTTAACGTTGTTTGATTAGCAAATCTTTTATTTAGAGCAACACCCTTCAGTTCTGAGTATTCTTCAATGTTATTCATTTTTTAGTGTGAAATGTTGCAATGAAAATTCATCAAGAAAATTAATTGTGAATCAAGTACATTAGTTATGTTTGTTTAATTTATTTCAAAGTGCATGATCGAATGTAAAATTGATCTTGAAGCTGTATTAAAATTCCAAAATTTGCTTTATAAAATTGTTAACTATTTAACAAAAAAAAATTTGTATTTCTAAACGTCCTGAAAAATGATTTTTGCAAACGAGATGTACAATGAAGCTAACAGTGGAAGAAAATTATTTTGTGCCAAAGTTCAAGTAATCGAACAATGTCGTATATTTAAATTGCACGTTGAAATTTAATGTCCCCAAAGACTTATCAAAATTATGAGTGAATGAGGGATGCGTTTGAGGCCCACGATCAGCAAGCTGCAGCAGAATCGAATAATTTAAAGAAGCATGGCTACATTCACTGAAAATTGTCATTCACCTGAAAAGGTTAACATTCTTAAGCTGTAAGTGCTAGTTTTAATTACATCTTGTTTAACGCGGTGAATGCTGAAGGTCACCGGTGAATGGCACTGTAAAAGTGCAACTGAAAAATTGCAGGAAATTGCAAGTGACATTTACAAGTGACAGAGTTAAAATTTATGTAGAGTTCGCATAAAGTTGAATTTTTATATAATAAAAATCTACTATTACTGTTAATTACATTTGCGAGACTATTACATTCACAAGATGGAAAATTCAAAGTTTATTATTAAATTAAATAACCATAATTCTTGTTGTCAATGTTACCATGTGTAGGCAACGTTGTGGACAACGTGTAGACAACAAATTTCCCAATTCCAAGCTTCTCACTTCCAAATTTTCCAATTCCACATTTCGCAATTCCACATATACCGATACCAAGTTTCGCAATTCCAAATTCCCCAATTCCAAGTTTCTCACTTCCAAATTTTCCAATTCCACATTTCGCAATTCCAAATTTCTCAATTCCACATATCCCAATACCGAGTTTCGTAATTCCAAATTCCCCAATTCCAATATCCCCAATTCCAAGATCCCCAATTCCAAGTTTCTCACTTCTAAATTTTCCAATTCCACATTTCGCAATTCCAAATTTCTCAATTCCACATATCCCAATTCCAATATCCCCAATTCCATGATCCCCAATTCCAAGTTTCTCACTTCCAAATTTTCCAATTTCACATTTCGCAATTCCAAATTTCTCAATTGCACATATCCCAATACCCAGTTTCGCAATTCCAAATTCCCCAATTCCAATATCCCCAATTCCAAGATCCTCAATTCCAAGTCTCTCACTTCCAAATTTTCCAATTCCACATTTCCCAATTCCAAATTTCTCAATTCCACATATCCCAATACCAAGTTTCGTAATTCCAATATCCCCAATTCCAATATCCCCAATTCCAAGATCCCCAGTTCCAAAATTCCCACTTACTAAAAAATCACGTTACAAAACTAAATTTCTCTGAAACACACAAGTGTTGCATTAAAGATCTTAATCGACGGTTCGGGTTGCAGAAAAGTAGAAAAAGAAAATTCATAACGATCCAGATAGATATAGGTGACCGGTCAAGTGTGACGCAGGTGAAAGAACGATTATGAATCATTCCCGGACTTCACCGATTGAAAGTTAACTACACGGATTTTCAGTAGTTTTCAGATCCAGCGTTATTAGGCAATCGCAAAAGGAAATTGTACTTTCAGGTTTCGATTATGAAAGAGAGAGGGGGAGACCTCGATAACGGAAAGGGCAGCTGTAACGTCGTTCCTTCTTTTTTACAGGGGAGTGGTCCAGTAATTTGCATACGTTGGACATTGGCCAGCATGCTTACTTCGAATTGGAATCAATGAACAGTATTGCTGACCGGTTCAACGGGCAATCAGAAATTCTCGGGCAAATTACCGCTCGGGGTCTTAGTCACAAATCTGTATTGTCAAGTCAATTCATTCGTTTATTATATTATAGTCATTCATTATGTTCGTATCACCTTATATTTTATTTCATTTGTCCTCGTTTTTCGTTCTGATCGATGTAACATTTCTTCAAGATTAAGACCTTCAATATTAAATTAAATTAAAGTTTTTTAGAATTGATAAGGATTTAAGTCTTTAGGATTACGCTATAAGATACTAAACATGAGAATCACCTTCTCAGATAAATTCTCAGACTAAATTTTCAAGTTCATTTGCTGTATTAATTTATTAAGTTGTATTACTGGTTGCAGGAAGAAGATAGACTCAGGTCGTTTGGCAGGAGTCTGCACCGAAGTCAAACATGAAAAGCCTGCTTCTGATGCGGTAAGAAATTCTTGCAATTAAAATACTGTTCCCTTTCGTAAATAGCATATACCATTACGTAATATTTACGTAGCACACACCATTTTGTAAACAGCATGTACCACTATGTAAACGACATAGCATACACCATTTTGTAAATAGCAGAGCATACACCATTTTGTAAATAGCTAAACACCATTTTGTAAACAGCCAACCATATACCATTTTGTAAATATCGTACCATTTTGTAAATACAGCATATAGCATCTAGCAAAAGCATGAACGAAGTTCAATAAAATATTTGAACATAGGAAATGTGCATTCAATGCTAAACTCGTTCGAAATACCAGAAAACGTTGTCTAAAAAATTTCATTTTACCACAGAAAGTAGAATGTTCGCGAATGAACTTTCGCACAAAAAAGTGTAACAGTTTTCCCGCAGTATTTTACCAAGGAATCGTTCCGTAAAAGAGTTGTTCGTTTAACCGAAGAACTTTTGAGAAAGAAAAAAAAAAAAAGGCCAACGCGAATTTCCCTCGAGAATGAGATTTCGCGCGTGCCGTTTAGAAAGCGTAACTCAGCCCGAGCGGTGAAAGAACACGTGGAAGACATTTCGCGAAAGATAGTCCCTTGCAAGGAGGGGGACAAAACGAAGAAAAAGGGACAACGAGGACTGGCCGATACGAGCTGTATGTAATTCGATTCCAACAGCCCCGTGGCCTTGAACGTCCAGCAACCACGCAACCCACCTGCTGTCCGTGGTATCCACCGGGATCTACGCTCCTGGAGTGTCGTCTCGAAGGTGATCAACCTGTGGCACACGTTGTTCAGGTACCCGCGGATGGGAATACAGCCACCCAGAAGATGAGCCTTCTTGTCGAGACTAGGCAGTCTCCTTCGGGACCATACTCGAGGTATGATGTAGTCAATGGTTCGCATATATAGCTTTTATAGGAGGGTAATTCCCCAATTCCAAATTTCCCAATTCCACGTACCCCAATACCAAATTTTGCAATTCCAAATTCCTCATTTCCAAATTTCCTAATTTCAAAATCCCAGCTCCAAATTTCGCAATTCCAAATTTGACAATTTCAAATTTCCCAATTCCAAATTTCACAATTCCAAGTTTCTCACTTCCAAATTTTCCAATTCCACATTTCGCAATTCCAAATTTCGCAATTTCACATATCCCAATACCAAATTTCGCAATTCCAAAATCCCCAATTCCAAGATTCCCAGTTCCAAAATTCCCAATTCCAAGATCCCCAGTTTCAAAATTCCCAATTCCAAGATCTCCAATTCCAAGATCCCCAATTCCAAAATCCCGAATTCCAAAATCCCCAATTCCCAAATCCCCAATTCCAAAATTCCGAATTCCAAAATCCCCAATTCCAAACTCCCCAATTCCCAAATCTCCAATTCCAAAATTCCCAATTCCAAATTCCCCAAGTCCCGAATCCCCAATTCCAAAATTCCGAATTCCAACATCCCCAATTCCAAACTCCCCAATTCCCAAATCTCCAATTCCAAAATTCCCAATTCCAAACTCCTCAATTCCAAAATCCCCAATTCCAAACTCCCCAATTCCCAAATCTCCAATTCCAAAATTTCCAATTCCAAATTCCCCAATTCCAAAATCCCCAATTCCAAAATTTCGAATTCCCAAATCTCCAATTCCAAAATTCCCAATTCCAAATTCCCCAATTGCAAATTTTGCGATTGCAAATTTCGCGGAGGGAATACAGCTATCCAGAGGATGAGTCTTCTTGTCGAGAGTAGACACTCTCCTTTGGGATCATACTCGTGATATGACGTACTCAATGGTTCACATATAGATTTTATAGTAGCGCAATTTCATTTCCGTACAGGTAGCTTTACAAAAATTTTGTCTTATGTTTGTGGTTCTTGAAGTGGTTTTCGCAGTAGAACAATATTGGGTTATTTAGAAATCAACCATAAGGCTTATAAGGTCACTTCTCTTGTCATACAATTATTTTGTCATATGTGACAGTCACACCTATCCACATCTACGATGGAAGTACCTTGATTATGGAAATTATAATTCTATCTAGACTTTGATGAGTAAAAATATAAAGGGTTCGTCCTTTCCTGTATATCAAAGAATACTGTATTGAAAGGTAGTTAAATTTCTGATAATCAGTAATACTAGATACAAAATGAGAAATCATAATTTTGATATAAAGATATTTGTGACTTAAGACAAGAAGTTAAAGTGATAAAATGTATAAAAAATTTTCTTGCCATACAGATCACGTAATTGAGACTGTAAAATTGCAAGTATCTTCTTGATAGCATCTTTGAACCACCTTTTGGATCATTATCCCGTCATCATCTTTTTCAAAGCATGGATAATTGAAATTGTACAATTCAGGCAATTTGAAAGCACTCTTCACAATAATGGTCAGACTTCACTGAAAGACTTCTTCAACTGACGTGTGTAAAATGGAAAATTGCTTGCATTTTATTTATCTTGATTGATGAATGAAAGCGAAGTTATAACATAATCTTCTGATGACACCCTATAATGTTATATCTCGAAATTTACTTAGACTTTGATATCTAAAAGTTTTACTTGAAGTATTATCTGTGATTGCAGTAAAATAAATCTCTCTGCATAAATCAACTCGTAGTAACAAATTAAGAAGACAAATTACTGACAGGATACAATGAAGGGATTCAATGACTCTCATAAGAAATTCATTCCCTTTTCACATTTTAAATATAAACCCTTCACAAGGTTCACCTTCACAAGGTTTACCTTCACATGGTCCCCTTTCAGCGTTACATATTTTAGGATATATCATATTTTAAGTAATCAGGTTGAAGCTATAAAGCTGTACTGTCAAAAGCAATAGCAATTAGATGTCAATTTGATATCAATTTGTTAGCACTATTCCAGTAATAACTTATTATTGTCCAGGGTGCTATCTCGGCCCGTAGAGTACCAGCAGCAACCCAACCGAATTGTTTCGACCGAGCAACCTAAGCTTCAAATGGCGTATCGGCTAGAATCTCGGGAGTGCGACGGTGGGCCAGTAGCGATGATCACGAAAGTGCCCGTGGATGAATGTTGCAACGCAGTCATGACCTTGGAGGCCACCAAAGGCGACGGACAACCTGATGGGCCCTCCTCGAAGATCCACTACGAGCCTGCGATCGGAGACGTCCTGGATGCGTCCAGCTGCGCTGAAAAATCTCGCAATTTGCCGGCAACCATGATCGAGTGTAGAGCGTCGGCCAAAGGCACTTCAGCGAAGATCACTCGGTGCCTGAGGAACGACAATCTGGCAAAAAGCGGTTTAGAGACTAACGTCCCGACATCCTGTACGGATCATAAGTTCGCCGAAACTCGAGTCGACGAAAAAGGTCCAAAAACCTACGTGGCCAATTTGCCGCAGGCTATCGAAAAGTCCCGCGATAGCAAGAAGACTAAATCAACTTGCGAAAGCACGAAGGAGCCCAAAAGAAGAAGATCCGAAACGAACAATTGTTCACCGGCGAAGTGTCTAACGATTTGTCCGGGTTCGAACAAAGGCATTCGTCCGTCGGCACGCAGAAACGGCTTGGACCCGGAAGATAATTTGCCCATAAGTCTTTTCAGGCGGATACCCAGAAAACAAGTCTGTCCGTGCAGCCCATCGAAAGGCGAATCGGGGTCAAGCGAACATGGTCAGCGGAAACCTTCGACCAAAATCTTCGATTGCGTCCTCCTACCGTGCAGTCTCACCAAGAAACTTCAGGGAGGATCCAAGGATTGCACGGAGTCCAAAACGTCCCCGAAGACCGATGTTGAAATAAAAAAGAAGCCGATAGAGGATATTTGTAAAGATAGAACTAAGACAAAATCAGAGGAGGATTGCCCCAAGGAGGTCGTACCGGAAATTCGATCACGGGAACTACTCACTCGGTTCAGAGATTACTTCGCTCCTCATCAGCTGCAGCGGTACGAGGTGTGTCGATCGAGGAGGAACGGTCTTCAGGACCAGTGTCAACTATCAATTCCACGGGCTGTGATCGAATTGAAGAAGAAAGAAATGCTGGAGCAAGATTTTAAAAAGGACGAGGGGTCCAAGCCGATGATTCTCGTTTGTAGCGATCGCAAACCCGAGGAAAAGGAACACGTGGAAGCGAAGTGTACTTGACACAATTTTGAACGTTGGGATGAGATTATGGATTTTATGTAAATATTGTTTCAAGATTGATTCTGAATAATTTAATTTGTTTTATCGAATGTATTATAAAGGCTGATGTATTACAAATATTACCATAGTTGAACTGTAAAATTGTGGCGAAAGGAGATCAATAAAATTTATGAAACTAAACTGACGGATTTATTTTATTTTTGGTTTTTGAAAGGAGCATTGAATTTAGCATTGAATGTCCATAAGATTTCCATATGATGTTCATATTGATTTGTTTCTTCAAATAAAGTTATTCATTCATGTGCTACATGTTCATAGGCATGTGTCAGCAAATATCAACAAATTAATCTGAATTAATTATTTTCTTATCTGGACTCTAATTATTCTTTGATCTGAAAGGATCCGAGACCTTTCCTACTCTAACATATTCTTACATTTATAAAAAATTTTCAGACGAAACATTCAGCACAGAATTCGTCAAATAAACACGCAAAAGCAAAACCTGCGAAACCCCAGAAGCCTAAACCACCCTCAAAATTGCAAAAAAAAGGGAGGCCTTTGAAAGTAATAAGATCCAGAGAATTGTTCAGAGGAACAGTTTACATCGACTGCGATTGCTATCATCGAAACGGATTGCAGCATGACTGTCCGCGTTCAACCTGCGGTGGTAAATAATTTATAAAAAATAAGACTACTGTTTATTAAAGCGAAATTATTTGCAAAGGTCGATCCTGCAAAGTGAAGCCTTGGCCCGAATGCGACTTAGGAACCTATTTCATGAACAAATGGGACAAATATTATGAACATTTAGATCGAATACCACCCACATCGTTTTGTGGGCCGACCAGAGCGTGGTTGGAGTTTCTTGAGCAGCAGGAGAAGAAATTGAAGCAACAGGGTCAAGAGCGGAAAAAGGAGTCGGTCAAGAAAATCGATAAAAAGCAGAATACATCTCGGTGTACCGATATAACTGAATTAGCTGGGGAGTACGTGATGATACCTGTAATTGAGGATACTTGCTGCGACTGAAATTCATAAGCTCTTATGATCATTACTACCTGAGTGCAACATCAGATGATCCTAGAATTTTTCAGCCAACTTATTATCATTAAATACGCTAATTACGACTAAAAAACCTGGCTGTTTCAAATGGTAATAGATTAATAATTTGGCGCACTTGTATAAAGATTACACGTTCAGAGATCGATTCAGGATATCACCTCGATTTCAGGATTTTTCGAAAGAAAAACCACAAGAGGATAAAAGTAACTGGACTTTAGCGAATAAACATTTATAATAGAATTTCGACTAATTTGTATGAGACGTACGTCCAATCATTCGCGGCTATTTGCGTTCTGTGATTCTAGCCACGTTGGGAGCTCGTTACTAAAAGAAACAAATGAAGCGAACGCGTGTACCGGAAGCCATGCTACATAGCCGTTTCACCGCTAAGAATACTGCTTTATTTCCGGCACGGAAAATGGGATACGAAAATATCGTGCATCTCCGCCTCGAAGTTCAACCAGAAATTCAATTTACATTCTTTATGAACCCGGTGAAAAGATCTTACGGAAAACGCCTTTGAATGCGGTGAATTTATTTTATTACCCATAGAGATACGTCTAAGGGAACGTTATACATCTACATCATTTTAATGTACATTTTTTAGTAATGTAGATATTCAATCTGCGGTTTTAAATTCTATTCATTGATTATGTGTAGGAAATTTATTGCTATGTGCAAATTTTTTGCTGTATGAAAAAGTTTGTCAGGTAACAGAAAGTAGAATTCAATAGGTTTGATGAAGCTTGAAATGTGCTATTGCAAATTTGAAATATTATATAATTTCTGTCATGATGTCCTCATATGAAGACATACTAAATATATTACCAATACATACTAAATAACAATTTATACTAAATATTGTGGCTGTCCTTCATGGTCGCAATACGAGCTTGAAATGTGCTATTGCAAATTTGAAATATTATATCATTTCTATCGTGATGTACTCATATGAAGACATACTAAATATATTACCAATACATACTACATAACAATTTATACTAAATATTGTGACTGTCCTTCATGGTCGCAATACGAGCTTGAAATGTGCTATTACAAATTTGAAATATTATATAATTTCTATTATGATATCCTCATATGAGGACATACTAAATATTGTGATTGTCCTTCATGGTCACAATATGAGCTTAATATGTGCCAATACTTTGTAATACTATATGCATAATTTCTATCATGGCGTCCTTATAAGGACATACTAAATAAATGCCTGCTATACCTGAATTCAATAAATTTTATTTATAAACGTCCCCATATGATCATACGATACATCCTATTTCTATCCAACATCCTATATATATTTTACACAACAGGAAAATCATAATATAATTTTAAAAAATTGTTTAGCAAATTTGTTTAGCAAAGTCATGATTTTCAAGAACTAAATAATTGAAACTATTAAAGAACTTGTATGACAGAAATTACTTACTTGTGGTAGTCTAAAAATTTATTTATTGTCACAACTGAAGATTCATATATAAGAGTAACGAATGAAGTAATTAAGATATGATATTGAAGCTTGAATTAGAGATATTGAGTGTATCGAACACCTCTAATAAATAAAAGAGGTGCGTGAACTAATCAGCGATCGACGGTTAAAGAACGCACGTGCGGAGGGTCCGGAACGACCCGTGCCAGCCAGGAAATAACGGAGCGATCCGTAGCCGCGAGCGAACGACTTCCGTTGCCTGCGGCCCTACCCATTTGCATCCAACATTTGCATCCCGACGACGACGATACCTGAATAAAAACGGGAAGCACTTTGTTCCATCCGAGACTCTTCGACGCGTTTCGCACAGAAAAATCAACTGTGTCGGATGCTGAACCTGGAACTTCGATAAAATGGGGAGCTGGTTACAGTGACAAAATTCTCTCCCTGTGGTTAAATTGAAAGAGGAAGAAAAATACATGTGTATTTATATTTGCATATAGAAATGTACCATATGGTCACACATGTAAATATGTGTAAAATAAATAAATACAATTTATACATTCTATGAGTATATTATACAGTATATTAGATTGTGATAGAATTTATGTATTTGACCATGGTAGAATTTAATAGTTTAAAGCATATAAGGTAGTTTAGAATTCAACCTTGAATGGTGGAAATTCATCTAATTTCATTTCTTGGCATGTAATGTAACTAGTCTTTAAATTATGTTAAGGGATGAATATAAGTTACATTACTCTGCAGTTATGTATCACAGTACGAATCGTAATTAATTATAATTTTATATCTCTTTACCTATGAGCTTTATAAGTTTTTCTATAGACTTCATTATCACATTTTGTCACAATTTTCAACCTGACAAAATAGCCACCATATGAATCAAACAAAAAGTACATACATTCCTTGTTACTCTTTTTTTCGAGATTTTATAATAATTTTTCAGTAGTATTCTTAAAGATTGCAGTGCCAAAATAATGCACTCTCATAAATTTGCCAGCACCCAAAGAAGCAATGTGGAGAAATAAATGTCTGTAAACGAAGGCACAGTTGCAGGGCGCTTCCGAAATTCGTCACGGTTCTCTCCACGATCCAATATTTCCAATGTATACCTAAAATATCCAGCGAAGGATTTCCCGTCTCGAGGAAAAACGAGATCCTATCTGTGCCATGGTTCGTGCCTAGACCGTACAAACAACCGAGGGAACGAATTTAAAACGTAGGAACCAAGGGAACAAAGAGAGGAACAGAGAGGGAGGATGAAATAAAGGCTAGAACGTAGGACAAGAAAGCTCGAAGAATTCGAGAGGGAAGGAGACAAAAGGCTGGCACATGTGAGAGGACAAGCTAGCTCCAGGAACATTCCAAGTGATAGGGAATCTAGGAGCGACGAAGAAACCATGTGGGAGTAACGCGTCGGTGAAAGAGAGACGATATATCGGAGGAAGAATGTTGGTCGTGGGATCGAAGAGGAGGATAAAGTGGATGGAAGGCGGAAGATCTAATTTTTGTATCGAACCAGACACGAGATATCCGTAAGTTCATGGCGCAAGATCTCGATGTCGTGAGCACAGTGCAATTTAGTAGAATCCTTTGTCACGGGATAATGATGCTTTTCAATGATCCTTACGGACGATACAATGGGACTTGTTTGCAGATTGAGTCCGCATAATTTTCTAATTCCGATATTTATGAACTGCATTCTCCGGTTTCTGCAATTTCTGTGGCTTGAACTTTGGAATGAGCAAATTAGCATAGATCTGCATTCTGTAGATTTACATTTAGGTATACGTAAATCCTCAAGTTTCTGGATTTAAAAATTTTTAAGTTGGAAAATTTCTGAACTCTCAAGTTTCTAAGATCTTAAATTATTAAATATTCAAATTTTTAAATTTTCAAATCCCTTAATTCATAATTTCGTAAATTCACAAATTTTCTAAGACTCAAATTCGTGTATTTACAAGTTCCTTAACTTCCAACTTCCTAAATTCCCACATTCCTAAAATTTGAAAACGTTCAAATTTCTATATTCTTAAGTCCCTTAATTCCTAACTCTTTAAATTCTCAATTCCCTCAATTTCCAACTCCCTTAGCTTCCAACTTTCTGAATTCCCAAATCTCTAAATTCCCAACTCTTTAAATTTCCAATTCCCTTAAATTCCAACTCTCTAAATTTCCAATTCTCTTAATTTTCAACTATCTAAATTCCCAGATCCCTTAATTTCCAACTCTCTAAATTCCTAAATCCCATAATTCCCAACTCTGTAAATTCCCAAATCCCTTAATTCCCAACTCTCTAAATTCCCAAATCCCATAATTCCCAACTCTCTAAATTCCCAAATCCCTTAATTCCCAACTCTCTAAATTCCCAAATCCCTTAATTGTCAACTCTCTAAATTCCCAACTTTATAAATTCTCAAGTCCCTTAATTCCCAGCTCTCTAAATTCCCAAATCCCTTAATTTCCAACTCTGTAAATTCCCAAATCCCTTAATTCCCAACTCTATAAATTCCCAAATTTCTACATTTCAAAATTTCTCACTTACTGAACTCCTAAATTCCCAAATCCCTAATTTCCCAAATTTCTAAATCACCCAATTCCCAAATTCCCAAACTTCCAACTCCCCAAATTCCCTAATTTCTGCACCTAAAAACAACCATACCACCAAATTTCATAAACTCAGCTTCTCAAACACCAAATTTCTATTCCGAAACTTGTCCATGTCAACATCATACACGAGCAGATCAGTAAACCGCGATAAAACACAGAACACACAAATTATCGTGAAAGATGTATAGCTTTCCTAATCAAGCATGCAGAGGTCCCTTGATAATGTCATTATATTTTAGGGCTGCCTCGTGTTTCTAAATTCGACACATGCAAACGAGCCAGAGAATTTTAGGTTGTTACTGGAAGCTGTTCCACAGTGCCACGTCGTCTCTCCCTTTCAAATCTCACTTCTTTCCCACGTCTGTTCACCACACGTTGGCCAACCATCTTCCGAGTTTCAGTGCCTTGCTTGAAACTGAACCAGCTTGTTCCACGTGAATGGTGTATTTATCAAAATTTTTTGCTCCGGTTAGGAAGCAAATTTATGAGAAACTGTCGTAGTAGTTTACTGAAAACTCGTGATAACACTGATGTAATGAAGTGTACAAGCTATTGTATAAGATAGAGAGTTGGAGATTTTATAATTTGAGCTTTTGATGATTTAGGTTTTTGGGAATTTGACGAGTGGGTGGTTTAGAAATTTGGAATTTTAGGTAGAGGTGATTTAGGAGTAGCGGAGTGGGAAAATTTGAGGATTTGAACAATATGAGATTTGATAATTTGAAGATTGGGCAAGTTAGAAATTTAAGGAAGTTTGAGGAGTTTTCGAATTTTAGATTTTTGGGATTTTGACAATTTGACAATTGAGTGATTTAGAAATTTCGAAATTTTATATTTAGATGATCTTAGAATATGACAATGGGAGAATCCAAAGATTTCATTTGAATTTGGTAATCTGAAGACTTGGAAATTTGCAAATTTAAGCATTTGGAGTTTCAAGTATTAGAAGGTTCCACAATTTGATAATCGAGCGATTTAGAAATGTAGTAATTTAGAAACCTGATAACAAAGAAATTAAAAAATTTAGAAGTTCATTTACCTTGCGACTCGAACAAAATTTTCCAATCTAACAAAATGATCAATCACAAACGCGTACAAACTTAGTTCAGCTTCAGCCTAATTATCTGTTCTCGCATAAGCAGGAAAAGTTTCTAACAAAAGCCGTAGCAATTCAAACTTCCCAGTCATTACTAGAATCCGCTAGAAAGTACTCAAATGTTAACGATACAAATACGGTTAACGAACTGTATCATGAAAAGAAATTGATTTAACAGTAAAGCCCACATTTTCAATGCATATTTTCTCTAATGAGCGAGTCCATTTCGCGGAAATTAGTTTTCTTGTATCGTCGGAATATTATTCGGGAAAAAACGACGTCTTTGGTGAAATGTAGGAAGAGATGATGTACGGATAAAACGTGTAAGATAAAAGAGGTTAAGTGGATCCCGAGTGGAAATTGATTTGCTTGCGTAAGAAGAGAAGACCGAGATGAAGAATACGGTATCACCTTGCACGGTCAACGATCCGACGAATGGAACGCCTTATACGATCGACCGTGATCTTCTCCTCCACCTTGTAGGGGGTGTACGGCCATTAATGGCTGTTCATACGTTGCCTGCGTCGGACATAGGCGTAGAGCTTGCTACACCTCTTTGGCAGAACATTGATTTCTGACAATTCGAATCTGAGACATGATGAGGTCTTTGTGTTGGGAAAATAGACAAGAGATGATTTGACAAGAATTTTATTGTAGGTAGAAAAGTATTGTTTGAGTCAAATTTGTGAAATGAGACAAGTAAAATAAAATTGGTAAAA